AGCTCTTACTTTAAAAATAAATAACATTTGACCCCATGTTATTAATGGAAGTCGTTTCCTCTTCTGTGGAGTCAGGCATGTCTGTAATAAATTTCATGGCAATCATTTCAATTTAATGGCAATCGTTTCAGTCCACGGCAAATGTGAACCTTATGGTGGTGTGAGAGGAAATGTCAGAGGGACTCCACAGGGGGGCACCTTCTGAACAGCGGTGTTGATGCAGTGCCTGGTGCCAATCTGTCCAGATGTTGGGACATTTGACAAGATAATTGAAAACACTGACCTGCCGGTGCTGCTGGGAATGTCTGTGGTCCATCAGAGCCAATAGGGATCAAATCTCTGGAGAGTGGAAGTGTCAGTGCACATCCATTCATCCAGTTGTTTGGACAGATATTAGGTTAAATTAAAAAAAAAAAAAAAAAGGTGTGGGAGAGGGAGCTCTCTCTCTCTCTCTCTCTCTCTCTGTGTGTGGGGATGGGGCCGACAAGATCTCGGTACGTTTGTCTGACCATTCCTGGAATTACTTCCATTTTAAGGCTAGTATTCCTCATGGTATACAAACGGTGCCCCCTTATTTTGTACCCTTTATAGACCAAGGTGTTTTGTTGTTGCGTTGTAAGCTAAATAATACAGGCATTCTGTTTGATCTTCCATTTAAAAAAAAAAACCTAACCTTTTTTCCTACGGTGCATCACCGAACAAAGAATTCCCAATCCCGGTATGTATAATAAAGTATAGTGATCGTCTAGTTTTAAATTACTGTCAATTGACTTGCTTTATATGAAACCTGTTTAGTTAAACATGTGACATATGCTCACAGGAATTGAAGAAAGAAACCACACCGACATTTTCAGCAGTTTCTTTTTGATTTGTTTGTTGTTGTTTTTTAAAGCTATTTGCTGCCATCCAGTGGAGTGTTTAATTATTCTGCCTGTCACTGTTGCATAGACAAACAAAGACAATATTATTTGCAGTAAAATATAGTAAAATATCTCACGTCCTCTCACCAGACATGTATTTGGCACTGGGCTCTTCCCTCTTCGCTCGCTGCTACTGAGGAATCCTGTTGAGTTTATTTTCCTCCGTCTAGTGATGTGTTTAAATTCAGCCGTTTGTCTTTGAGGTCGTAGCCGATGGTGGCCTCAGTGCGGCTGCCGTCGTGGCGTGAGCTTCATAATGTGTGTTTAGAACAGTCCAGGACTTTTCTAATGCTATGTTAATGGTATAAAAAATGTTTGGTGATGGCTAGAGATACGGTTTGAAACGGTTAATGTTGCTCTGTTTCTTGTATAGCAACGTATGTATTTGGGGACATTGTTTTGGGGACACTTTGAGGGACGTTTTGCCAAGTACCCACTGATTTAGAGGGTATTTTGAGGTTAGTATTGCGTTTTGGACTGGATCAGAATTACTGTCAGACTAGATTTAGGGTAAAGATTAAGATACGGCATATTTCATAACCATGAAAGGAGAAAAAACCAAAAAGACTGTTTAGGGTTTGTACTGATGAGCAGTTAAATCGGCCTCTTGTTCTCACATCAAAGTATGAAAGTATTTTCAGATCTCTTAAAGATGAACATTCAGGATTTCACGTGCATCAAAAACCTCACCGCCGCATCTGTCAGCTGCATGTCAGAGCTCAGCCTCAAACGTTACTCCTCCCGTCATCGCTGCGGGGTGAAACCCCACGACACAACAGTGCAGGAAAAACCCCACGAGGCTGCGGTGCAGGTCGTACTGTCAACACGATGAGACGCTCAGCAACAAAGGAGGACGGATTCAGGTTTGCACACCTGTTCACCCTCTGATATCAAACAGACTCTTGTTTCTGTCCACACACTTAACGCTGCTGATCCTTCAGTGTCTGTGAGACGCAGTGAGACGCAGTGAGATCTGGTGGGACAGCAGCCTGAGATACACACAGATGAGTGATCTTCCCCTTTTGTAGTGAGTTGATGATGTCCAACATGTGGCTGCGGTCTCTTAACTTGCACTGATGGATAAGAGGAGGATAAAACAAAGGCAGAATTAGAGACTCATGGTCTTCAACATGGGGTTCTTGGCCCTTAGGGTGACCGCAGAGGTACTGCAGGGGGTTGAAGAATGTTTGATAGTTAAATGACTTACTTAGCCTGGAATCAAACCCACAACTCTCTGGGAGTACACACTGAGGTACAGCCACGCCCTGGTTCTTAGCGTAGTGTTGCATGCAGGACAACAGGTGGCGTCTCTGTTTGGTATTGAGAATAATGTTCAGTCATTCATTTCTGTTTGGATATTAATGTTTTGAATAATGACATCAAGGGACCACAAGGTGGCTCACTTGCCTTACAGCAAGGACATGTTTTTATCCCCAGTCCTGGTCTTTTCATACAGAGTTCATAAGTTCTCTTTGTGTGTTTGTTTTTTTTTAATAGTTAATATGGTTTTCTTCCAAAAACACACAGGAATAGACTAATGTTTCACTCTGAATGGACCCGTGGTGTGAATGTGAGTGTGAAATTATGTGGCTCTGTGGGGACCCGTGGTGTGAATGTGAGTGTGAATATATGTGGCTCTGTGATGGACTGCTGGACTGTTTAGGGCATATCCAAAGATTGGTGGTGGAAGATGAAACCATATCATTGTACTGCTATGATTCTGTTGTATAGATTAAAGCATAAGGAAGAACAGAGAGATAATTTAAAATAAATGTTTTATTAATTTTTCAATGCTTTTTATTATTTTTGGTGTAGCTGAACAATCGCCCATTTCTGCTTTGTTTTGTCAAAACAACAGTGAGTCTGGTTGTTGCTGAGTTAACACTTTTGGCACACTGCTCTCTCACCTAACAATGGACTTTGTTGTTTTGGCCTACGGTGCTTTTAATGTTTTTACACATAAATGTGTTGTATTTGTGTTGCCATTATTATAAAAAGAAACAGTAGTGCAGTTATTTATCATGTCTGACAGATACTGCAGTCTGTTGTTGGTCGGTTTGGTCTTTTGTTTTTTTTTTGTAAAAAAAAAAAGAGAGAGAGAAAGAAAAGTAAAGACAATTGAAATAAGCAACGTTGGCCAAAGTCATCATTTCACTGTGACGGTCCATTTAGCAGCAAACAGCTCAGATTTGTCTTTACTGTGATGACTGTGAAGTAGGGATGGTTTCAAAACAGGGGCGACCTGCGCCGTGAGGGGAAAAAGAGAAAAAACAAATCCCACCATGATCCGTGATCCAGCTTCTCTGTGGAGTTTCCACACTGCTGTTGGTGTAACCAGAGGAAAAAAGCAGGGGCTGTAGCTCTCTCTCTCTCTCTCTCTCTCTCTCTCTCTCTCTCTCTGTCTGTACCTATACTCTCATAATATACATCCATCCATCCATCCATCCATCCATCCATCCATCAAATCTCTTTTTCTCTCTCACTCTCTCTTTTTCCCTGACCCTCTCATCCATTCTGTATACTCTCTCTCTCTCTCTCTCCCTCCCTCCCTCTCTCCCTCTCTCCTCCATCAACAGGTCCCAACTTTGTTTTGTAGATTATTAAACACTCTATCAAATGCTAGATGTTTACTCTTAATCACATGGCTGGAGTGAAAACTGCAGCTCGTCATTAGTGTGATGTGATGTGAGCTGTCGTCTGGCTCAGAGAGAAAGAACTCAGCTGTGATCAGTTAACAGCTGTGGATGTGTTCACGCACTTTAGACATAAAGCAAAAAAAGAAAAGAGACAGGAGGAAAACAGAACAATGTGTCGGTGAGTTTTTCCATACGGTTCCCTCTGTAATCAACTCTGAGGAACAGGTCAGTGTCAGGAGTGAGTGTAGGAAAAACATGACCTGGGACTGGAAATCATCCACAACACTGGCTAGAGGTCAAAGTTCAGTATCATTTAGTGGAGGTCAGCAACTGCAGGTGTGTTGGAGTCTACTGTGTGCTCAGTGTGGCCCTCGCAGAGCTTTACTACTGCTAAACACTGCCCCCATGTGGACAAAAGGTTGGATGCCGTTTAAAAGAGTGTTCGTTTACAGTGTCTGGGGATTTCCATGATTTTTTACGTCGGTATAAATAGGGTGTAGAGCAGTGGAGTTCTGGTCATTGTGTCTTTTCATAGTTTTATCAGTAGATACTAAAACATGTGTGTAACAAGTGTTGTTTTTATTGTTTGTTGTCATGTTCAGCACGAAACAATTGCCAAAAAATATTCTCAAAAAAAACTTTGTTGATGCTAATCGATTGACCTCCTCATTTGTACAGCGGGGTAAGATAAGATAATTCAGTTTGAAGTAGGCCACACAGCAGCACACACTCTTATCAAAACACATTTGAAATATAATTTATTGCACAGCATAAAGATCAACATAAAGTGGCACGATACCCATTTTAAATCCCATTACATCAGAAAAAAGACGAGGAAAAGTCCTTGACAAAGAAAGCTCACACCTTCTGTTCATGATCATCATGTTTGCTTGAGAACAAATAGCCATTAAACTGTAGTAATATTTTGTAGTAAAACTGTTAGATTAAAAAAAAAGAAATTAAATAATAAAATTTAAAACAACAGGAACAATCCGGAACACAAATATGGCACAACCAGAACATGGCTACTCAGACATGTCATGAGTCTGTGACTCAGTGACTTACAGGCAGATCAGTGCATCAGAACAAATTGAAATTCCCCAATTTATAAAAAAAAACAAAACAAAAAAAAAAAACCTCATGATTAACATGTTCTAAGAATTACACACAAAGCCTGATTTTAAATTGTCTTTTGCAGAGTATAATTTTATAACAAGTCCAATATTTGAAAAATAAAAACATTCCATAAGCCTCATTTACAGTATTAAAATCACTTTTTTGTGTGGTGGTGGTGGTTTTGGGGGGGGGTCGGCAGGCCTGCGCCACTGTAAAAACTAGCAATGAGGTGCATTAAAGAAAAAAAAAAACATGATCATCACAGTCATTTTTAGAAGATACTATTTACATCCTGAACTCAGATTTTTTTTTCTCTTTGTGGTTTCAGTTTCCGCCACATCATGGACTTGATGGCTGATTGGCTGTGATCAGACAACATCAGGGGATCGTCGCTGCAGGGTACGTAAGCTCTACCGTCTCTCTTATTGCTGCGTGACTCGTTTGACAGACGCTTTACACTGTAGCATAAGATAAAAAAAAAAAATCTACTGTGTAACTGTAAGTTCTGTTGCTGTACCAAAGTAGCCACTGGGAAAAAACGTGATACTCAACATAAACACGTGGCATCTGAACGTGATCCAAACACAACCGTTAGGAGGCGCAGTATGTACAGTATGTGACAAGTGAACACTGGCAGAAAAGGAGGAATGACGGGAGGATACATCACAGATCGATGCTCTTCAGTCTGCTCTCATCGAACTCGCTCTAACTGAACTAATTCTACTCCGAATGAACACAAACCTGGAAAGAGAACAGCGCGACAGCATGCTAACGAGATCCAGAAATCACTGTTTACAGCAGGTCAAAAAACAGGCGTTTGTAGAAGATACCTGACTGGGGTTTTAGGTACATTAGTGTTGCCTGTTTGCATATTAGAGCTGGAACATCTGAAGTCAATTTAAAAAATGTCCAATCAACAGTTTGCACGTGTTGTCAGAGGTCCACTCGGCAGAGACCAACAAGAAAATCGGAGTAAAAAACAAAAGAAAAGTGTTACTTATTAATCAAACAAACCCAGAGAGTTGCGTAGAAATATAAAATGCAGCCACAGAGGCCAACAGGCTTGGACTCTGGGGGTTGGTATCACATCGACATCATCTGTGCTCCACAGGAAATGAGCCGATACCTGCGGTGGCTCGGACCGGCTCTCGCCGCGTTAGCAGCACCGTAGTCATTTCAAGTGAAATCAAGGTCGATCATGACGAGCACCTCAACGTGACCTGCATCAATGTCAGATTACATCGACAACATTGGCTCCAGCAATGCATAAACACTGTTTATCTTCAAAAAAAAAAAAACAACACTTGTTTGAACGTCCTCAGTTTGGACCTTACAGAACTGGTCTGTAGAGTTGATTTGTCTTGGATCTAATGTGAGGGCGGTTGTCACATCCATGGAAAAAAAGCATTGAGATAATGTGAGCATTTGTCTGCTACTGATAGAAACGAAATATAAATAAGGATGTGAAGTAGAACTCCAGAGTTGTTGTTTTTGAGACACTTTGAAGAAGCAGCAAGAACAGAGATGCTGATAGTAAGGAGGGGCGACGGGGGGGGGGGGGGGCGGGTGCGGGTTGAGA